TGAATAATACTCACAAACCAACTGACTAGTAAATGTTAAAAGAACAACCCTGCCTCAACAGCAGAACACACAGCCTTTTCAAGTATACACAAAGCATTTAATAAGAAAACAGGTCTCATAAACCTAGTAAGATTCAAATCACACAAAGTGTGTTCTCTAGTTAAAATGAAATTAGTGTATAATCAACAGAAAACCCTCTGGAAAACCATAAAATATCTCAACTAAATATAAATAACACATATAAATAAAGTATCAAGGAATCAAGGAGCTGGGAGATGAATGGGTCAGTTAGTAAAGTGCTTGCTTGCCACACAGGTAGAAGGACCTGAGTTCAATCACAACATAGAAAATTTGGATTCTAACACTGTGGAGGATCCTGGGGCTCACTAGTAGCTTACCCAGGTCTCTATCTCAAAAACAAGGGAGATCCCTCCTGAGGTACAAAACTCAAGGTTGACCTATGTATGGCCTTTGCATACATGTGGGTAATACATGCATGCATGCTGGCACAAACATGAAGATGCAAACACATAAATACGTGCACATACACACACAAAGTAGAATAGAAAGCATTCTGAAATAGATGTAAGTGAAAACATGGTCTGTATGTTAAAGTCTTTTAGATGACACTAAAGCAGTTATATGGGGGGTGGGCATATTACTAAATTCCTACATTAGAAGGATAACATGATCCCTTAGTTCCCACCTTAAGAAAACAGAGGCTGGGTATAGTGGTCTTTAAGCCCAGCACTCAGGAGGCAGAGGCAGAAGAACTTCTGAGTTCCAGGCCAGGCTGGTCTACAGAGTAAGTTCTAGGACAGCCAAGGCTACATAGAGAGATCCTGTTTCGAACAAACGACAACAGCAAAAAGAGAAAGAGCAAATTAAATCCAAAGTCAGAGAAAAGAAGCAATTAAGATCAGAACAGAAATTAGTAAGACAGAAAACATGAAACAACATAGGAAAAGTGAAAACTATCCCAAGTACAAATCTCTAGTCAACTGGTCAGGAAAAAGAAGACACAAATCACCACGTGGGGACCACATTCTAACACTCAGAACCACGAACACAGAGAAACAACTTCCTGATTAAAATGACAACTGCAATGACAAATTCCATAAAAGACAAATTAGCAAAACTCACTCAAGAGAATAAGGGAGAACTGGAGTGGTCAGGGGCCCACTCACACAACTGCATCTGAAGTGGTCAGGGTGGTCAGGGACCCACTCCCATATCTTCGTCTGAAGAGTTTACCAGCCTTCCTACAGCACGGATGAGTGCTTCCCAAAATCTAAAGTAACAATACTAATTCTCCTAGAAGTCTGCAAAAGGAATATCTGTAACTTCTTATATAGGTCCCTGACCACCCAGGCTTCAGATGCAGCTGTGTGAGTGGGTCCCAGAATTCATACTGTGCAGCTTACAACCACCTATAACTCCAGCTCCAGAGGATCCCACACCTTCTGGCCTCCACCAGCACACATACACACCGACCCACACACATATACAATTAAAAAATAAATCTTTTAAGAAAACTAGCATTATTCTGATACTCAAACTAGAAAAAAACATTTCCAGGAAACGGTGTTTTTAATACTTCATGAACACAGGTACAAAAATTTCAAATAAAAACTTGGTAAATCAAATCTAACAGTATTTGAAAAGAACAATACTTCATGACTAAGTGACAACGCTGGCTTCACTTATAAAACCTAACAGCAAACTTAGAAAGAAAAACAAAACTGCATTCGAAAAAAATGCAACATACATTCTTAAAGACACAAAGCAAAACAAACCTGTCAGCAAACTGAACTAGAAGAAAGGTGTGTTCTCAATCTGACTGAGTACATCTGTGAGAAATCCACAGCTAACACAAGGCTCACCAGAGAAGAATGAGTACATTTCCCCTAAGATCAGAAGACAACAGTGTCCACTTTCTCCAACTGTGCTCAACATTGCCTGGAGTTTCTGGCCAGGGTATTAGGCAACAAAATGAAATTAAAGACAAAAGACTGGAAAGAAAAGTAAAAACTCTTTACTAGCAGACAATATAATTATGCATGTAGAAAAATCCTAGAGAATTTTTTTTAAAGTATAAGGGTCTGAATTTGATCTCCACCCCCAGCCCTAAGGACAAACACTAAAAATCAACTAGAATTACTAAGTTTAGCAAGGCTGCATTCTTCAATATATAAATATATATAATATATAAAACATATAAATATATAAAATCAACTGCAAGTCATGAGACAGCACTTTGTGCCATTAGGCCAATGCTACCAAAATGACAGTAACAGATGCTGGCAAAGACTTGGAGAAACTGGAATGCTCATATTGCTGGTAGAACATGAAATGGTGATGTCACTATGAAATACCATTTGGCAGTTCTTCAAAAGGTCAAAGAAAGTTACCCCATGACTCATCAACTCTACTCCTAGGTGTGTTATGTTCAGAGAAGTTAAAAACTTGTATAAGAACATGCCTAACAACATTATTCCTAACAGTTAGAAAGTAGAAACAACCCAAATGTTCAACTGATGAAATATACAAACAAAATGCATCTGTACAGTGGAATATTATTTGGTATGAAATGAATGAATACTGATACATTCTACGATAAGAATTAACCTAGGGGCTGGAGAGACAGCTCAGTGGTTAAGAGCATTGGCTGCTCTTCCAGAAGTCCTGAGTTCAATTCCCAGCAACCACATGGTGGCTCACAACCATCTGTAATGAGATCTGGCGCCCTCTCCTGGCCTGCAGGGATACATGCAGACAGGAAATTGTATACATAAGAAATAAATAAATAAATAAATAAATAAATCTTTTAAAAGAAAGAAAGAAAAAGAATTAACCTAGAAAACACTGTGCTAATGAAAGAAGTCAGATAAAAGACTGCTCGGTGTGTGAGTCCCTTCCCATGAAATGTCAGGGCAGGACTCCAACAGAGCAGTGGGGCTGAGAGGACTCAAGTGGCTGAAACTGAGATGTAGACTCCTTCCTGGGCTGATGGAACACAGTCTAAGAACACTGTGATCCACTGAAAGTCTATGAATCCTATACTGTAAAATGATGAGTGGATTTATGTCCCTTGAATTTTATCTTAATAAGAAAAAAATGCTTAAAAATCAAATGCTTTTCTGTATATATACAGATACATATGTATACATACATATATACACACATATATGTGTATTTTGTTGCTGTTGTGTTTTGGGTTTTTGTTTTGTTTGTTTTTTCTGAGACAGGGTTTCTTTTCCTAGCTTTGGAGTCTATCCTGGTACTTGCTCTGTAGAGCAGGCTGGCCTCAAACTCAGAGATCCGCCAGCCTCTGCCTCCTGAGTGCTGGGATTAAAGGCACACGCCACCACCATCAAACAACGCTGGAGTAACTGGGTATCTATATATGTATCTGTATGATTGCTTACCATTTGACAATCCAATTTCTAGGCATCTATCCAAGACAAACTTTACATCTTTACAAAAACATATAGCAGCATTATCTATCTTAGCAAAAAGACTGATAAATAGACAGAGTGTGTTATATACATATAATGAAACGCAATTCAGAGAGGTAGAGGCTGGAGAATCAGGAAGGAGTTCAAAGCTAGCCTCAACTATTAACAAATTCAAGGTCAACCTGGGCTATATGAGACCCTGTCTCAATAAAATAAAAAAAAAAAACCACACACAATTCAGTAATTAAAAAAAAAAAAATCACAGCTGGGCGGCGGTGGTGGCACAAGCCTTTAATCCCAGCCAGGCAGATCTCTGTAAGGCCAGCCTGGCATACAAAGTGAGATCCAGGCAGGCACCAAAACTACACAGCGAAACCCTGTCTTGGGGGCGGGGGGACAGGACAGGACATAACATGGTAGCATCTGGAGAGAAGGCTTGGCTCAGAGGTTAAAAGCCCTTGCTGCTCTTCCAGAAGACCTAAGTGCAATTCCTAGAACCCACATGGTAGTTCATACATCTGATGCCCTCTTATGGCCTCTGAGGGCACAAGGTATGCACATGGTATACATACATACAAGCAAATACTCACTCATACACATAAAATAAAAAAATAAATCTGTTTTCTCATTAAGTCACAAAGTCCTGATAATATGCAAAGACAAGTAAACTTCAAAAACATTACACAAAGAGAAAGGAAAAAGCATTTAAAAAGAAAGCATTTTAGCCGGGTGGTGGTGGGGCATGGCTTTAATCCCAGCATTCGGGAGGAAGAGGCAGGCAGACTTCTGAGGTCGAGGCCAGCCTGAGCGCTGTTCCACAGAGAAACCCTCTCTGGCCTGGGCTGTATTCTCAGCACCCACCCACAGTGCTGACACAGTGGTCACAACCATCTCTAACTCCAGGCCCAGGATGGACTGCTGCCCTCTTCTGACCTCCATGAGCACTGCGCACACACAGTGCAAGCACAGACCTACATTTAGGCGAAATACTCACACACATAAAATAAAATGTTTAAAAATAAAAAGATGGGGGCTGGAGAGATGGCTCAGAGGTTAAGAGCACTGACTGCTCTTCCAGAGGTCCTGAGTTCAATTCCCAGCAACCACATGGTGGCTCACAACCACCCACAATTAGATCTGGTGCCCTCTTCTGGCCTGCAAAGACACATGCAGGCAGAACACTGTATACATAATAAATAAAATAAATCTTTAAAAAAAAAAAAAAATAAATAAAAAATAAAAAAAAAAAAAAAAAAAAAATAAAAAGATGGCATTTTATGATGTCATTTAAATGAAATTTCAAAGACAGCAGATCAAAGGATGCAGGGGGGAGGTTGCAGGGTGGAAAGGAATGCTTGAGGATGACATTAGGGTTCTAAAACAGGACTGTGGTGAGGCCTCACAGCTGTATATGTTAGCCATAACTTACCAAGCTGTAGTTGCAATAGGTAAGCCACTTATCTTTCTGGGCATTGCCTTTACAATAATAAAGTTGTTCTGTTTTTGGTTTTGTTTTTTTACGCAAGCTGCATATTCACTCACCATTGTAGCCTTCCAGAACGGAATCAATAATAGGTCTTGCAGTTAAGTTATATACATCAAGTTGTTTACTTTCTGGTCCAAAAACAGTATCAAAAGTAAACGTCTTTGGAGGTTCGTTGGAAGAATCGGTCTTATGGACGGTGATCGTTCCCCTCATCTCATCCACGCTGACGGCCTGTCTATAGCACATTGATTTCTCTCTCTCATTGAGGGGCCGGCACCTAACAACAACCTTCACATTATCGCAGCTTTCTGGCTTCTCAGATTTATTGATCTGGTGGAGAAAATGTTTACAAACAATGAAAAGAACATTCATTTTGCCCTAAATTTATAATTGAAATAGGCTACTTTTCCACCTCAGCACCCTGAATGTGCTAAGACCTCACAAGACTTTGTTAAATGCAATTAAAGATCTATACATAACAGAAAGGATGCAAAGAGGAAATTTCTTTTGCAATACAAAAGAGAGGAGAGAAAACTCTAAGTTTACATCTGTAGTGAATGCTTCAGATGCAGAAAATGAACTAGTATGCATGACATTTGCTCAACAGTCCCCGACATCCTCTGAATTTCCTGCCTGCAAAAAAAGCACATGTGAACATGGTTGGCAAGTTTTATCAAGAATGGAAGCGATCAAGCTAGGCGCTATGGCACATACTTTTGATCCCAGTACTCCAAGAGGCACAGGCAGGAGGATCTCTGAGTTTGAGACCAGCCTATAAAATATAGTGAGACCCTGTCTCAAAACAAACCAACAAAGTATGATGTCCTTTGCTTTCCCATGGCATCTAGTTTCATTTTCTAGAATGCATTTGTAAAAATTTTTTTAGCATATGAAACACTCAAACATGACTTACCTTCTCTACAGAAAACAACAATAATTTAAAAACAGAGAAGGCCAATGACATACAGGAAAAAAAATGTCTTATGAACGAATGCTTGTATAAAGTTTTGATTTTCAAAATTTTACATGACTAAGAAATTAAGTCAATGGTTGGGGATTTAGCTCAGTGGTAGAGTGCTTGCCTAGCAAGCACAAGGCCCTGGGTTCGGTCCTTAGCTCCAGAAGAAAAAAAAAAAAAAAGAAACTAAGTCAAAACAATCCTATTACTATCAATATGCTACTCTCCAGCTCAGCCTCATCGCCCTAAGCTAAGTCACATGACCTGGGCCCTGCATTACAATCTCCTAACTACGCTCCTGCATCTAATTGAATTGCCCTTCAATCTGTCCTCGTACATGATGGTGTAAACACAAATCAAATCAGGATACTCTCCAATGTAAAACTTTCCCACAGATGACAAGCCCAAAATAAAAAATGTTAAGGTAGTATGGAAAAGTCTCTAGGTGTCACAAAATACTCTGCCTCCTCTCAGCCACAACACCCTGGGTTTCAGGACCTTTTCCTGGAGTCCTTCAGCCTAGAACATTCCTCCCGTCCTTCTTCACTTAGATAATATCTATTTTTCCTTCAGTTTTCAGCTCCACAGACACTTCCTTTGGGAACACTTCTCTGACTAGGTCAAGTGCTTTTTTTTTTTTTTTTTAAACAGACTCTGAAAACACATCCTGCTTTTCACAGATACAGTTTTACTCTTGTTTGATCCTTGATTGATGTCTGTCATTCTATCCTCACCTGAGTTGCAAACAAGTAGTCAAGGGGCTGAATTCAGCCCATAAAATTCTTTTATTCGGCTCAAAGTATTTTTGTTTTGTTCTGATACAGGGTCTCATGAAGCACAGGGTGGACTGGAACTCACTATGAAGTCAAGAATAGCCTTGAATTCTTTTTGGGGGGGGTGTTTTTTTGTTTTGTTTTGAGATGGGGGATTCTCTGTGTAACAGCTCTGGCAATCCTAGAACTCGTTCTGTAGCCCAGGCTGGCCTGGAACTCACAGAGATCCGCCTGCCTCTGCCTTATGAGTGCTGGGATTAAAGGCATGCACCACCACCACCACCACCAGGCTGCAATTTAAGTCTTTTGAAAACAAAAGTAGATCTGTTACCAGTAGGCCAGCACTCCTTTATGGCAACAGTTTTCAATTCACCAGAGCCTATTTCTATCAATGCAACTCACCCACTTCCTTCATCAAGACTCTTTTCTCTGTTAGTGTGTATGGTTTTGACCTCTGCCTCAAAAGGCAAGCTTCTCTTTCTCCAAAGTCAAAAAACTCGGCAAATGGGACTGGAGAGATGGCTCAGTGGTTAAGAGCCCTTGTTACTCTTGCAGAGGACCTGGGCTGGGTTTCCAACACCACACAGCAGCTCACCACTGCTTATACTCCAGTCCCGAATCCCATGACCTCTTCTGCCTTCCCCTGGCACATGGTGCACATACATGCAGGCAGGCAGACACTCATACATATAAGATTAGATTTAAAAAACGCCTGGCAAGTTTTGCTCAACCAACCCTACCACCTACATGGTTAGCATATATACGGGTGGTGCCCAGTATTTATTGAATGAATACCGTGAAAGCAATAAATAAAAACAAACATTGAGCATTTTGTGCTGAATGTCAAACCCTGTCCTTCAAGTGTCTGATGAAAACCACAAGAAGTTTGTGTGGGAAATAAGAGTCCAGACAATTTGAATAGCTGTCGGAAGCCTCGTAACCAATAAATAGGCTTCCATGGCTCAAGCCTTCTCCAATGAGACTTACAACCACCCCCTTATTATGGCACGATAACAATCCGTGAAATTTTAGAAGGTAACCAAATCGCCGCCGCGTATTCACACAAAGACACCTACGGGTTACATTTTGCACCATAAGCTAAGGCGCCCGAGAGGAATGACAGCTTACTCCCGAGGGAGTCGGGGACCGAGAGTGGACTCTGGGGTCGCGGGCATCCGCACGACCCTCGCGGCCGCGCGCAGCCACCAAGTCCCCGCTGCCGCGCGACGCTTTTCTGTCGGGCAGCGCGGGCCCGGCGGGATGCAGCGCGCAGTGGGGCGACAGGGCGGGTCCCGGGTGTGTTCCCCCCCCACCCCCGCCCCATGCTCGCAGGACCCGCAGCCGGGCCACCCCGCCGCCCTTCCCCGCCCAGGCCTCGCGGCCCCGCCGCCCTGCCCCGCCCGCCCGCCGCGCGCTTCTATGGCAACGGCCGCGCCCCCGAGCAGGGCCGCCACGATGAGTCGGAGCCCCAGCGGCCGAGCGGCCGTCCTCACCGGCATGGTGGCCGCGTGCCGTGCTGCGCCAATGTCCCCGCTCGGGATGCAGCCCAACAACAGCGGGTTTGCGGGCGAGGCTGGCCGCGGGAGACCGAGACACCTGGGTGCTCTAGAGACTGCGGCTCACTCAGCGACGGAGGGCAGTGCGCAGGCGCACTCTGAGCTCGCCCCGCCCAATCTCGGCTGCCCTCGGCTTCTTGAAGTACGCACGCGCAAGGCCTTTCCGCGTCCATCTCCACGGACGCCGGACTGGGGCGGCGCCTGCGCCGCTGTGCGGTTCCTCTGCGCTGGAAGGGTGGTTCACGTTGAGGCCCCGGGGACACCTGGCCGGCTCAGATTGCGAGGGGCTTCTGGCGCTGGCACTATCCCAAATATTAAAAATAACAGTGGGTGATAGCGCATCAGATTCTGATTGATTCATCCTTATTTCGTGAGGAATATCAGAGGTTGGGTTCTGTTTATCTCTGCTGTGTGCACCAGCAGTTTGAGACTCTGAATAAGAAGTTGTGATTCGTGGCCTTTGTCTGCTTGTGTGTACATACACGTGTGCGTTTGTGCACACCTCAACCGTTAAATTGAGTGTCTAGCGCTCCGTTAGGCAGGTGAGGGCTTTGTGCGGGGTGCCGTGAATCGAACCTTAGGCCTCAGGCAGGCTGGGCAACGGCCCTGCTACTGAGCTATTCTGTTTCAAACTGAGCTTTTTGAAGACAGAGGTTTATTTCTGGCCTAAGGTATCTGAATGAAAAAGCAATAATAATAAGGAGGACATGACCAGACTAGGTTGGCCATGTGAGGAGGGAGAGAGAGGAGAGATGAGAGAGGAACTGCTGACCAAGAGGGGTCGCCTGGGCCAAGAGACTGGGATAGCCAAAATGGCAGGATTATATAGGGAAGGGCAGCTGGGGGAAGGGCAGCCCACCCCCTGAGCTGGAGAAGTTTTGATATGTTAAATAGGCATCTCAGCCATTGTCCAGGGTTTGAGACCTAACAGTATCCAACCATGAGAACGGCTCAAAGCCGAAGCTCCTTCTAAATAGCCACTTGCTCAACAGAACTGGTTTGGATTTTTCAGTTATGGGAGAGTTGGTTTTAGTTTTGGTTTGATACAGGGTCTCATTGTGTAGACCATGCTAACCTTGAACTCACAGAGAGATCCTTGACTCCTACAAAGCATGAAAGGCATCTCCATCATGCCTGGAAGTTATGGGAGAGTGTAAGTTGCAAATAATTATAAAACATGTTTTGTGTTAACATTCAAAGTGTTCATCTTGGGGTTGGAGAGATGGCTCAGCAGTTAAGAGTACATACACTGTTCTTGCGGAGGACTGAAGTTAGGGTCCCAGTGCCCAGGTCAGGCATCAGAACTCCAGTTCTATGGAATCCTACACCCTCTTCTGGTCTCTGTGGGCACCGTACTCACATGCATATACTCACTCACAGATACACACATACACTTAATTTAAAAATTTAAAAAAATAGCCAGATAGTGGTGGCATACACCTTTAATCTCAGCACTCGGAGGAAGAGGCAAAGCAGATCTCTGAGCTCAAGGTCAGCCTGGTCTACAGATCAAGTTCCAGGACAGCCAGGGCTACACAGAGAAACCCTGTCTCAAAAATAAATAAATAAAAATAATAAATCTTTAAACAATGTTCCTCAATACATCACACAATTGGCCATGAACATCAGTAAAATGTTCTGTATTTCTCAATGGTGCTGAGTAGGACAGGCCCATGTCTTATGATAATGTAGACCACCGTTGCACAACTGTTGATAATACATGATAATGCCTTATCATTTCTTTCAAGTTTTATATTATTTATGTGAGTGTGTGCTCCAGTACTCATATGCCATGACTCATATGTGTGGAGGTCAGAGAACAAGTTCAAGAGTTAGTCTCTTCTTCCACAACCTGGATCTCACCAATGGAACTAAAACCAGGCTTAGTAGCAAGCACCCAGCAATTGTGCTGGCCCTAAAGTTTTTAAAAGATGTCTTTATTCTTTGTTTTGTTTTTCGAGACAGGGTTTCTCTGTGTAACAGTCCTGGCTGTCCTGGAACCCACTTTGTAGACCAGGCTGGCCTTGAACTCACTGAGATCCACCTACCTCCGTCTCCCGAGTGCTGGGATTAAAGACATGCTCCACCACCGCCCAGCAAAAGATGTCTTTATTCTAAACTAATCCAGTTTCCTAGCTATGCCTATTTTACCTTGTAAAATCCCACATTCAAATGCATGTTACATTACATCATACTACACTAAGACATGTAGGCTACTGTAAGTATCTTAAAGCTAGAGACTTTAGATTTTTTTTCCTTTGTGTTACATCTCTGAAATGCTATCAAAGTGATTGCTGAAAGAACAAAATTAATCTATTTTGAGTGCATTGTTTTGCATTCAAATACCTTCTACAAATGTAAAGGTTTTAGTTGTGTAAAATCAAATTATTAATACTATACAAAAGTAAAAATAAAAGAAAATGGCTATTGTACATTGTGTCCCACATGGTGACCTTTCATAATGACCTTGCTTGTTAATTTGTTTATTTCATGTACCACCAGCAGAAAGGGGGATCCTTAGGAGCTTGCCCAGATTCCCACCTGTCTTTCCAGAGCCTAGCATAGAACCTGGTCCCAAAGAACTAATTATCCACCCTGTCCAGCCCAGCATCAGTCCGCTTGGATGTGTAACAGATATTTTATCAGGTCAAAGTTTAAATCCCGTTCCCCAGACCAGTTTGCCTCCCTTATTCTATGCTGTCCCTGTCACATACACACAAAAAAGCTCCAACTTAGACTCACTGCATCTCAACAAATAGCAGAATTCCAACAATCACTCTGCTCAAACCCCAGTCTCTTTCTCCCACCCCATATCCAATCCTTCAACACAGCCCATTAGGATCTGCCTTAAAGTAAAACCAGAATTTGATTTCTACCACCGCCACGACCACCATCACTATGGTCTCTCACGTGTATTGCTACACTCAGAACCTGTTTCTCTAACATCCTTGAGGGATAACAGGTGTGGCTTTGTTGATAGAGTCCTTGCCTAACATGCTTGCATCCCTGGGTTCCATTCTCAGCCCCTCATAAACCTGGTACACACAGGTAGAGGCAGGAGAATCAAAAACCCAAAGTCATCCTCAGCTACATGGTGAGTCTGAGACAGCCTGAGAGCCATGAGACAAAGGACAGGTGTGGTAATCCCAGCACTCAGGAGGCAGAGACAGGTAGATATCTGTGAGTTCAAGGACGGGCTGGTCTATATAGTGAGTCCCAGGCCAGAATTACAGAGTAAGACCCTGTCTCAAACAAAAACAAGAAGCGAGGAGGCAGAGAGCAGGAGAAAAAGTGGAGCAGCAGAGAAACTCAAGCACCCACAGATCTGGGCCCAGGAGCACCCTGGATCCAGTCTCCCATGGAGATGGAGAAAGGACTGTATCTCCAGCACAGTACCGACAAGGATGGTGTTGAAACATGAATCAGATCTTTTTTTGCTCCAAACCCTCCTTTAACTTTCCATCTCTTAGAGTAAAAGCCACAGCCATCCCTCTGCCTCTCCAATTCTTCCTCTTCTTCCATCTGAGCCTGCCCAGTAGGCCTCCTCACTTCATCCAACATCCCAGATATGATTTCATCCTAGCAGGAAAGGGTTATGTGCTTGTCAGTAGGAACTAATGAACATAACTATAAGGAATTTTAGCTGGCCATGATGGCTCACACATGCAACCCCAGTATTCAGGAGACTGAAGCAGGAGGATCATCTGTGAGTTCAAGTTCAAGAATGATCCTGGGCTCCAGAATGAGTTCCAGGACAGCCAGGTCTAGAGGGTGAGACTCCACCTCAAGCAAACCAATGGAATTTTACCTGATGCACTGGGTTGGTTTTTCCTTGTAATTATGAAAGCAGCCCTTTTTTTCAGCATTTATTTTATGTGTATGAGTGTTTTTCCTGTGTGTATGTATGTACAAAATGTGCATGTCTGGTGCCTTTGGAGGTCAGAAGAGGGCATCAAATCCCCTAGGACTGGAATTACAGACAGTTGTCAGCTACCATGTAGGTGCTGGAAACAAAACCCAGTGCCCTGGAAGAACAGCCAGTGCTCTTAACCTCTAAGCCATCTCTCCAACCCTTACTTTCTTTTAAAAATCATTTGATGTGGGTGGACATGATAAGTTAGAACTCAGAGACACTTACCACCAAGTCTGACAATCTGAGTTTGATCCCTGGAACTCACACAGTGAAAGGAGAGAACTGATTCCCAAAAGTTGTCCTCTGACCTCCATATGCACATAGTGACCCATACTAACACTCACAAGCACACATAGACACATACATGAATAAATGAGGAAATGTAATAAAAATACATTTTTCTTAGTTGTTTGTTGGTGTTGATGTTGTTTTTGGTTTTTTTGTTTTGTTTTTTTTTTTTTTGAGACACAGTCTCATTATGTACCTCTGGCTGTCTTGGAACTCACTATGTAGATCAGGCTGTACAAGAACTCACAGAGATTCACCTGCCTTTGCCTCCCAAGTGTTGAGATGAAAAGTGTGTGCCTATCTCTGGCTCTAAAAATACATTTTAAAAAATTATCTGGGATCTGGGCAAAGTGGTGCAAGGTTTTAAACCCATCTCTGGGGAGGTAAAGGCAGGCATATTTCTATGAGTTTGAGGCCAGCCTGGTCTACATAGTGAGTTCCAGGACAGCAAGGGCTATGTAGAGAGACCCTGTCTTTAAAATAAAAAAATCGGCCGGGCGGTGGTGGCGCACGCCTTTAATCCCAGCACTCGGGAGGCAGAGGCAGGCGGATCTCTGTGAGTTCGAGGCCAGCCTGGTCTCCAAAGCGAGTACCAGGAAAGGCGCAAAGCTACACAGAGAAACCCTGTCTCGAAAAACAAAACAAAACAAAATAAAAATAAAAAAAATAATAAAATAAAAAAATCATTTGATTCATACATTAACCTTTTGAAATAGGTAGTAATTGTTGTCCTTATTTTATAAATAAAACTCTTTCAAGGTCCTGTACACTGATAATAAAGTCTAGATATAAACCCAGGCAGGCCAGCAAGCTCTTCTCCCAGATGACTACCTGACTCAGAAAACATCTTCTCAGTGAGCACTAACATCATTCTAATTAAAATTTCCCCA